GATATGAGGGGTTGGGACGAGGGGGAAAGAGGGGAGGGACGCTTGCACATACGCAGGCAGGTTGGAACCCATCCTGAACCTGAACTGAACCGATCAGTGCAGGCGATGAAGTGCCTTTGGGTGCAAAAAAAAGCCGATCCGGGCAAGCCTCAAAGGGTGATTCGCGGTGTGCGCATCCACCGCTGTCGACAGGCACGGACCCCAACAACAGCAGTCGAGTAACGGTGGTGATCGTGATAGTAGGGAGGAAAAGTCGGTTGGCGGGGGTGGTTGGAAGGGCGTTGGAACTGGTCAACTCAATGGGAAGAGAGGGGAATATCCGGAAGCGATTCGAAGGCGAATAGATTGGACGAGGGAAAAGTGGTGGATAGGCGGCGATAAGAGGCGATTTCAAGGAGAGGGAAAAGAGAGAAAGAGTGAGCGCGAGCACTAAGGCTTGACGATGGAGGCGCGCGGACTTCTATGGGGCTGAGCAGGACAGTCCTGACGTTGCGCCTTCGGAACCAATCACGACCGAGCGAGGGGTTCAACCGGGAGGAGCAACTGGAGGAGGACTCGGAAGAGTAATAGTAGGTAGGCTAGGTAGTAGTAAGAATGCTCATAAAAGAAGGAAAAGGTAGTGACAGCCTGAAGTCAGACAGTAGTAAGCTCTTCCGTAAGAATCCTACCTCCCCAGAGGATTCGTGGAAGAGAAAGTGGTGGTGGTGTGGTTGGTGGTCGTGGTTGTGGTCGTGGCAAAGGGAAAGGAGGGGAAGTGCAGTGGTGGTGGTGGTGGTGGTGGAAGGAGGAAGAGGGAGGAGAGACGGAGTACAGTAGTAAGAGAGAGAGAGAGAGAGAGGAGTAAGTCAGCCATCAATGGCGGATTAAGCTACTGATTTCACTACAACTATCTTACACTTCTTGACACCAACCTCACCACACTCACTCTTGAGGTTGATATTTTACCCATTCTAAATCAGTGTCCGATGAATCGAGCACTATTCTCATGTTTCATTCCGATCAGAGTCGGAACCACATCCCATAGGGCTGCAAATATCCAAAAAAAAAAATCATCAACTGAGTTTTCCTCCCGGGAAAACATGGGAAGTAATGAAGTAATCAGCGCCTACGAAGATGATAATACCTGCTACCTTGCCCTCGGTGCCCTATCACTATTCGTTACATTATTTGCCAACGACAAACCAGGGGAGGAGAACAGATTAGATTTTCAGTCGCATCATGGGGAGGTTACACTGGAACGAACCTAGGTGATGGAATAAATAGAACAATACTTGGTTTTCCAGCCAATCACTCGGCCTCAAAAGGACAGTGATGGCCTGCTTAACAAGGCAACAAGATTATTTTCAATTCACTCATATTGTCTTTCTCCTACATCTTCCGGGCTCTATTTACCGAAAAGAAGAAGGAAAACACCCCGAATAAGTTATTGAACACATATTCCCCCCTAATCGTGCCGGACCTTCTCCCTCATTACGACTCTCTTTTGATGGTGGGGACCCAATGAACGTCGCAATTCCGGTTGCTCTGCTCCGCTTCCTTAGACAAACTCGTCAGCATCGCCGTCTAGACTGGCTGAAGTACCGTCCGTGCCGGTCCTTACCCGGATTGGAGGCCATAAGGCCACAAGTTCAGGGTTATCATGCGCAAACATGATATCGTAATTAGCTCGTGGCTAAACCGCTGTGACGCCATCCCTCATCTCCCTGTTCATTAGTCAGGTCTACGGACCGAGACCATAACAGATCGGGACCCGGTGACAATTATGGATTTCTTCGATGAAGAAGCTGTCAAGAAGACTAGTTTTCAGGTGCAGATTCCTATTGCGGTGTTCTTTTCTTTGAGAAGCGTAGTTTCATGACCGTCCTGGTCCTTTGGAGGAGGGGTTTAGCAGGCAATTCCTGCTCGTAAAGCAATTCTCTGTAGCTAGATGATATCACAGTGGTTCCGCCCATCTGACCCAGTCCGAGATTGCCAGAAAGGTTATCATACAAAAGTCCATTCCAGTAGGTTGACTCCAAAGACAATTAGAAAATAAAGAAGTTTCTCGCTTTATTCAGAGACGCGCACACGTGCATCAGAGCGACCACGACCATCATGGTCAACCCGGACGTCTTGGTAGCGCTGGGGCTTCGTGCGATGACCTCTGTTCCTTGCGCAGACGAATGCCACCCCGTATACACTGAACTGGGGCTTGACGTTTCTCTAGTAAGGCGCATAGCCCCGACCCCGGCCACGATAACCGCCGCGATAACCGCCGCGAGGCGCGAAACCTCCGCGGTAGCCCCGACCGCCACGGAAGCCACCCCGTCCGCGTCCTCGGGTCATACCCGGCAAGTTGGTACGCTTGGGAACGACCTACAGCATCAAAGTATTCAGTCAGTATCGATGATGGAAGGGGGGAGTTTGATTGCAAGAGGAAGCACCTTCAGGTTCCGGCCGCGGAAGACACTCTCGTTCAGTACAAGGGCCTGGGCTACCAGACTGGGCTCTGCAAATTCAACATAGGCATATCTGTAGTCGCCAGTCAGCCAATCTTGTAACACGACCGAATTCAATGCGCTGCAACATACCCCTTGGGCTGCCCAGTGAACTTATCCAACAGGATGGTGACCCGATTTATCGAGCCACAGCTCTGAAAGTGTGCTTGGATTTCCTCGGGAGAAGCACCGTAATCCACATTGCCAACGAAGATACTCCGGGCATCAATCTCTTCTTTGTCCTCACGTAGGCTCTCCGACTGCTGATCGAGCGTGGCTTGCATCTCGCGCAGCTTGGCCGCTTCAGATTCCATCTCGGCTACCCGCTTCTTCATCGCCGCAATTTCCTCCTGTTATGGACAAGAATACTCGGATTAGAACGGATGTCATAATTGCGAATGTGTGATTCACATGAGGGCAGCGGTCGGGAGCCAGCGCTCAGAATCCCAGCAAGCAGCTTCAAGCCAAACAGGACGGTTTTTACCTCATCGTCACCTGCTTCCTCAGGCTGCTCCAGGTGCTCATCTTCAATCTTGTGTTCTTCTGTCGCCATGTTGAATAGGGTGTGTGAATTCCGATTGTCCGTTCGAGTCCGTTTACACCACTGGGTCGCAAAGTGAAAGCTCGAGCGGGCACCGATAGCTTTCCCGCCGGGTTGGTCAAGTGAGCTGCGGGTAGGAAATTGCTGGAAAAATACAAGATCCGATAAGATAGGAGCGATATGCAACTCCCAGAACTGGGTGTGTAGCGGTCGGTGGGGAGAAGGACCAAGTCAAAAGCTGATTCAATGGAAGACTGGAAGTGGAGGAAAGTGAACGTGATGCTTGCGTTTGATTGTCCCCGAACTTACTGCCTGCTCTTTCCGGCTTAGCTCTTTGTCAACTGGAACATCCGCCGCCGACTCGGTCGTCAATAGTCGAGTATTGGACTGCGGTACGCGAAAATGCTTTCGATCCTCACCCTATTGCTGATCGTTAACTACTACTACCTAGTAGGTACGTGCATCAATATTGAGTGGATTAATAGGACCAATAGAATTGAAGAGTATCCTGAGAAAATTCCCTCACACCAGCCACTTCTTTTAAATCCAGTATCTTTTAGAAATACCCGATTACAGTGCTACACTACAGCGAGACTAAGTAATTGCAAGAACGAAGCTGACAGCCTTTCAGCCATCATCAGTGCAAATCTAGAGGAATTGGCCTTGCGAGATTAAACGAGACTCGGCCACATTGAGCCCACATGATGTGACACTACGATCCTCAAGCAAGCCGCAGTTGAACCATATCTAGGCAGTACTCGATCCTGATCTCTGGTTAGAATGCGCTCAGCAGCCTGGTTGCGAAACAATTCGTGTATAGGCGCTCGAGCTTTGGGGCCGTCGGAGCAGGAAAGGAGCGACCAACAAGGAGGAAGTCATTATCGCGTCAGATCTATGGTTATGTACAAGAAAAATAGATAGGAGCGTCAACTCATGAAGATGCGATGTTGTTCTTGCGGTAGGATACTTTCTCCACCGCCACCGTCTCAGCCCCGTTGGCATCTGTCTTTAACTGGTAAACATAAAGCACGAGAACATCACCTTGGATCTACAGCGATGATTAGCATCAGGTCGTCTCAGCCGTCTGTGGCACCTCTGCAACTCACATCCATCAAGCAGAAGCTGGGTGTGGGCTCATCTCCCTCGGCCCAGTATCCTGTGCTCATCGCACCCGTGGCACTGCCGGGATTGATGAAGAATCGACCTTCCAGCTCGAAAGCCTCGAATCGATGGGTACCGCCCCACAGCAGAATATCTACGTCCATCTGACGAGCGGCGATCAAGAGAGCATCCGCATCTCCTGGGGGGATGATCGTATGGCCATGCGTAAATCCGATGCGCAGGCTGCCGTGGGTCACGACCTTCGAGAGAGGGAGATTGGGGGAATCGACATCGAAATCTCCTTTAACCAGTTGCAGGTCAGGCGCCACCTGCCGGAGGAATTCGAATGTGTTGCGATCGGTCAAGTTGCCGAGACAGAGAATCTGGCCGATCTTGCCCGGCGTCAATAGTTTCTTGAACTGTGTTGCGATTGTGTCAATAGAGGGTAAGTGGCAATTGTCAGGAGGGCCATGGGTTATGGCCGAGCAGAAGTCGCACCTTTGCGGGGAGGTCCTATATAAGAATGGGTTTGAAAGTCAGTCAACTGTTTGTTGTTGCGGGGGATGATCAACAACATACGGGAGCTCTGTCAGGGATGAACAGGTCGCCGATGACCAGGACCAGGCGCGAAGTCATTCTGAACGGTGCGGTCACTCAAGGCCCAATTTTGGAGTGAGCTATGAGTCTATGGAATATGTTCAGTAACGAACTGAGGGGTGCAGATGTATGGAGTGCACAGTTGTCTGATGGAGATATCAATTAAGCTACCTAACGTAAGAGGGAGTGACTATCTAGGCTGGCGCCCCTATCGCTGGAGCGGCGCGGGGAAAGCTTAGGCTATTCCAACGCCAATGCCACGCGCCTGACAGCCCTATGCCCTAGAAGCAGGACCAGTTCGGACTAGCCCGCGCTGCTTACATCTATGAAGGCCGGCGTTCCTGCGTACTGGTCTGCATCTACTAGGCTGCTGGGAGACATAAAAAAAAGGACTGGGAAAATGCGGGAAGAGTGAGGGAGCAACACGAGTGAGTGAGTGAGAAATGTCTTGCCCTCTCATACTACACCTGCAGGACAGCCTGGAATACTGGGCCTATTTCCGTTTCTGCCACCACAAGTAAGAACGGCAGTTTACATCGTCATCCTCAGTTGCGCAAGTATACGGAGCAAGTAGGTGGGCTCGCATAAGCCCTGCAAGCCAATAAGTAATGGCTGCTCGGATATACTATCCTCATTCTTGCTCAGACACTAGTTTCATGAGTCAATGCAATGTGTCTTTAGATTCCTTCCCCAATCGATCCACGGCAGGGCCCGCCCGTTGGAGGCATCCGTCGCTTTACGGCCGATAGAAGGCAAGGGAAATGGGGGAAATAATGCGCCAAAGGGGGAAAGGAACCAAACCAACCATTGAGAGCTGAGAAAATCTCCTCGATTGATCAACACACCTGGGGACTTCTTCTCCCCGTTTGTAGTTATCGTCCTACAATTGTTTCTCCTCATCCTCACATCCAATTCTACTCATACGTCAGTACAGTAGTACTATACACCATACTATACACCATCAATACTCTTCACCCAAGCAACTCAATCCATCCGGAAAGTGAACCCGGCGATCCCCGACCCTTTCCCCTCTTCCTCCCCCCCAACAAGCCCAGTCAACGCCTGGGTCTCCCCCCTCCATCTCACCAGCAAACCAGCAAATCCCCCTCCCCGCGGGCTCTCCCGTAGAGAGCCGACCTTTCGGAAAACTGGCGGCCAAACGGACGCAGCAGCGCTTGAGCCTGATCTCCAGACACCTGGATCAGCGACTCCCGCTGCCTGAGCTTAATACCCCGTTCTCGACCGAGAGGAACTCCCTCGCTCCAGACGACCTCGAATATAAACCCATCGATCGCTCCGTTCCTTCTTCCATCCCTCCTTCTCCTACCACTCCATCCTCCTCCTCCCCCCCGCCCAAAATGTCTTCCCAAGCCCCCCACAACACCCTGCTCATTCCAGGGCCCATCGAATTCGATGATGCTGTCCTCCAGTCCATGTCTCACTATGCGTAAGTCCAACTGCCCCTCCTTCCCACGACCGCTCATCATCACTATCCGCCATTGAATCATACCTTCTTTCTACCCCTCACTAACCGCTGTATGTTCTCTCCAGTGAGAGTCACGTTGCCCCCGGATTCGTCAAGACCTTCGGTGAGACTTTGTCTCTCGTGCGCAAGCTCTTCCAATCGTCCAACCCCGCCGCTCAACCCTTCGTCATCTCCGGCAGCGGTACTCTGGGCTGGGATGTTGTAGCTTCCAATCTGATCGAGAAGGGCGAGAATGCTCTGGTCCTGCACACCGGTTACTTTGCCGATTCGTTCGCCAACTGCATTGAGACCTACGGGGCTCATGCCACCCAGCTCAAGGCCCCCATTGGCGAGCGGCCCTCGTTCGAGGAGATTGAGCAAGCCCTCAAGGCGAAGCCCTACAAGATCATCACCATCACCCACGTCGACACCTCGACTGGCGTGCTGAGCGACATCAAGCGCGTGGCCGAGATTGTGCGGCGCGTCAGCCCTGAGACGCTGGTCGTCGTCGACGGTGTGTGCAGTGTCGGCTGCGAGGAGATTGCGTTCGACGAGTGGGATCTGGACGTTGTGCTGACGGCCAGCCAGAAGGCCATCGGCTGCCCTCCTGGTCTGAGCATTCTGATGCTGTCCGGCCGGGCTCTTGAAACCTTCAAGGCCCGCAAAACGCCCCCCGCCTCCTACTACGCCTCCATCGGCAATTGGTTGCCCATCATGCAGAACTACGAGAACTTCAAGCCCTCTTACTTCGCCACTCCCCCCACCCAGCTCGTCCACGCCCTGCACACCACGCTGTCTCAGATCACCGCTCGCCCCATCACCGAGCGCTACGCCATTCACCGTCACGCCTCGGACCGCGTCAAGGCCGCCGTCGCCGAGCTCGGCCTGAAGCAGGTGGCCGCCACCCCGGAGAACCAGGCCCACGCCATGACCGCCATCTGGCTGCCCGAGGGCCTCGCTCCCCCGGACGTGCTGCCCGGTCTGCTGAAGCGCGGGGTGATCTTCGCAGCGGGTCTGCACAAGGAGGTTGCCACCAAGTACATCCGCTTCGGCCACATGGGCGTTAGTGTCACCGACCCCGCCCGGTCGGACATTGACAAGGCCATTGCCGCCTTGAAGGAGGCTCTGACCGAGGCCAAGCAGGCCAAGGGACTGTAAATATCCATGAGACTGTCATATATTGAACGTAGCAAAAATACGAATAAAAAATCGCAAAACAATCTTTAATAATCGTGCCCTCTTCTGGCCAAAATCCCAATGGAGTTCTTCCTCTATTACTTGGTCTCAGCACTTAACCCCACCAGTTAGTTGTACTGTAGATTGGCGCGCCCCGATCTCGGACAAGTGGTGTCCGATAAGCGCGGCGCGGCGATAGGGATGACCTACCGAATCAGGCAATCCTTTCCCGCCCTCAACGACCAGGCGCAACTCAACTATCAGCACCTATCATCACTTGTAGAATATTCAGGTATAAAACAGGAGGGGAATGAATCGTGGATCGTGGCCTTAAATAAAGACATGTACGCCTACCCTTTGCTCATTCTAAGAGCACCAACTCCTTGCTCAGTGGAACAGACCTCAATCGCAACCTGAGTGGACTATATATTCCAGCACTTCGGCATCTCACAAGTTCTGCCTCACACTACCGGGCGACTTCTGCTGTGATTTCCTTTCTCATGTGATTTTTAGTTCTACGAATGCCTAGGCGGTTCACCGTGGTTCACACAGCGTCGAACCCTACTGTCTTGAATGGGGAACGTCTAAAATAAGATAAGGAACCTTGGGGGATAGGAAGTGATGATGGCTATGGAAGAACAAGAGCTATGGGTGAAGGGAGGTTATATCTATTGCGGTGCAGACCTTCTGAATACTGTCATCAGACGAGTGGGGAAGTGAAGGTCGAGAGACGATAGCCCATCGTATCAACTCCCCTCATGCCTCTCTCGACTTTACAAGAGCAGAGACATGGGGATCTGATAACCATGGGATGCATTGTAAGATTTCCGTAATAACATCAAGCTTGGAAAACATTCCTGTCAGGGTTTCCTTTTTTCTGTTTTCGTGTTTTCTGTGCAAAGGGGGGGGGGGTTTATTATTATATTAAAGGCCATAAGTCACTCCGTCACTGCCACGGGTCCATCCTTCTCTCCTTGTCAAAGCTATGCTTCTGTTTCCCCTCTACGCAAGGCTAGGAAAGCCCGCACATCGGTTACATACTGTAGAGCTTCTAACATGGGGACGAGGTGGAGCAACCCGTTGTCCGTCGGATCATTAATCCAGCCCTCAATGGGGATTGCGTTATCTGCGATCGAAGGTCAGTGGGGGGCGAACTGCACCTGAAATCCACAAACCTATACGTACCTTCGTGAAAAATATAACTCATAGGACTATTGTCCAGGATCATCACTTTACTCAGGTCTGGCTCAACAGAGCTGAGATCTTTAATGTACGCGCCGTTGCGAAAGGTACAATGCTGCCGGTAATATCGCGCGTGGAAGTATTTCCGCTCCTGTTCCAGCCAGTCGATAACCGGATCTGCGTACTCTTGCACACTCGCAGTAAAAACCACCAGCTTGTACCATTTACACACCTTGCGAAGAAACTCGTCACAGTGAGGCCGTTTGTGGACATAGTACAAGATGGGATGTTGCGGACCAAGCGTAGTCGGAGGCCCGCCTGGAGTCAGAGCGGTCGTCATGGGCGTGGACAACTTGACTTCAACCATGTGGCCGCTGGACATGCGGCCACCCTTGGCCAGGGAGTGGATGAGAGTTTCGTCAAGATCGAGGACCAGAGTCTTTTGCGGGCTTTTCGTGTTGCGTAGGTTGGCCGTGTAGGAAGGTATGCGCTGGGGAATCAGAGGTCGAGGAGGAACGGGCGAATGCGGATATCGAGTGACTCGATGGACCGACGGGGAGGTCGGGGACTTCAAGCTATCAAGATTGAGAGCGCCCTGGGATCCATTCTGTGACGCCTGTCCCAGATCCGTGCTTTGCGCACGGCGCTGCCGGTTCCGCTTGAACGCCTCTTCATTATGAAGCTTGATTCGAATAGATCGCCGAGGGGTGTTGTCGTCTGGTGCATGCTCTGAGTTGGAGGACTTGGACTTGACGGACCGAGGATGACTGCTGCCGAGTCCCTTGGCGCTTCGCCGATCCCCCTCTGACTCCGATGTACTCGAGGCAATTGATTCGCGTGATCTATGAGCTTTGGGTCGTCGTGATGTTCGTTGTTTGCCATGTGCTGGAGTCCCTCCTTTGCCCGGCGCGTCAAGACCTGATCGTTTGGAACGACGCGGAATCAGGCGGCTGATTTTGCGGAACGGAGCCAGCGGAGAGTATTGCCCATCGTCATCGCGAAAGCAGTGGGCGACAAAGAATCCAGGCGCGGCCAAGGTTGACAGAATGAACTTGATGGTCTCGGCAATCGCCTCGAAGAACCGGTGCACGAACAGTCCTATGGTGCTGGTTGCGCCCAGCGAGCGATCCTTGGATAGACTTCGTAATAAGGGTGATTTCTCATCAAGCGTGTACTCATGGTTTTCGAGGTCATCTGGCGCGCCGGGCGTCTCATCGTGGCTTTTCTCATGGTGATCCGAAGCATGGAAGTTGCTCTCACTATAGGACCGAAACTTGGCGAGGTCGCCTGGTTCAATTGTCCGGGAAATCTCTCCTTGCGATCGAGATCGTTGACGACTTCTACTGGAACTGGTAGGCTGGCCAATTACTCGGGACGACAAGATGTTCAGCGAGTTCATCTTCCGACGTGGTCCACGGGTGTCCGGGCTGGCGCAGGTGTCTAGTTATGTTGAGCGGAGGCGCCGGTCAGCACCTGGTCAAGTCACGAAGCAACTGGAGGTAGATATGCGATGCACGAAGGAGGAAAGACATCGAGCTGCACCGACCTCAATGCGCCAGTCGACAACCCGTGCTGATAACTGTTGACGGTTGACCCCAACTGGTTTTGGGCTGGGCGGAATTGGTGGGCGATAGCCGTCGCCGTAGTCCTTGGCCTAACCGGTGGGCGGATAAGCGGGATGGAGGAAGGGAGAAGGAGGATAGGAAGAACCCTCGTGACGGTTTAAGACGACTATATACAGACAGTCGAGGACGAGGGTGTGGAAATCAAGCGGCAAAGGGAGGGGGTAAGGGAAAGAGAAAGTGAGAAGAGTTGAGGAAGACGCCGAGAAGGAGGAGAGAGAGAAGAGGTGGAGGGAGAAGGAGGAGGAGGGAAGGCAACCAATCCATAGTTACCGTATGTATGTATTATTTGGTTGTATGTATGGGCTGCTGCTACGGCTCCTACTACGGCTGCTACTACGGCTGCTACTGCGGCTGCTACTGCGACGATTCGTTGGGCCGAGCGGGCAAAATCTCCCTCCGTCACATCCCACTTTGGCTCTTCTTCCGCCTTTCACCTCCTCCTACTCTCCCCCCCCCTCTTTCTTCTCTCCCTGCTCGGCTGCACATTCCCCTCTTCACCTACCTCGAACTCATTCTCCAGAAGCTTTCTTCCTAAAGCTGTTTTGAGGCGACCAGCTTACGAGCGTGATAGTTGTTGCGAGCGCGCTAACACTTACTTCCCAACGAGTTTCTCTGGTATGCGACTTGTGCGACCAATCCGATGACTCCACCGTTCTGCCTCACTAATGCTGCATATAGCTCCAACACACCATTGAAGCTTGGTGACATTCCGTCTCAATTAGACGCTAAATTCGTCGGATCAGAGCCCTTGGCGGTCTAACTTTCGAACTACAAAAACAAAATGCCTGCTACTTCAGGGCCCTTGACGCCCGGCCTGGCGTCCTTCCTCAAGACATTGAGGACTAACCCCATTGACACATCCATCGACAATCTGATCTCGTGCGTCTTCTTCACCATGCGACGGCTGGCTGCAATCGATATTGAAGCTGTACTGACATACCCTCAGGCTCCTCAAGCGCAGACAAATCCGCCATTCCAGATCGTGTGCTACTGCGACTGCATACCTGCTGCGCGGTGTTATATCGGCCTCTAGAACAAACGACGCCAACAAGCTGATTGAGAGAGTGCAGAATGTTGGAAGACGGCTCATGGCAGCTCAGCCCCGGGAGATGGTGGTCGGCAACATCGTCAGGCGCGTGCTCGGATTGATTCGTGACGAGGCCGAAGACGACCGTGAGGGCGACTTCAACCTTAGCGAAGCTGGCTCTGAAAGCCAACCTCAAACCCCTCGTGGTCTCGACGGTATGGCATCTACCTTGTAGCATTTTTTTTTTTTGGCTCAAGATGAAGACGGAACTAACGACGAACGACTACCATAGATCCCGCCGATGTTCTTTCCGCTCGCCATGACGGCTCCGACCGTGGCGCATCGAGACAACCCTTGCCTGCCCTGACCGCCGCCCCAATCTCTATGTTTAGTCTGCTTTCGCATCCCGATACCGAGAACTCCTTGCCTGGAACCCCCGTGTCCGCGTCGCCCTCCGGTCGGCTATTAGGCCACGCGCCCAGCAAAGACATCCGGGCTGAAGTTCTGGACGGTATCAGCGAGATCATCGACGAACTGACGCAGGTCGACGACCAGATTGCGGCTTATGCTCTGGACCACATTCACTCCAACGAAATTATCCTCACTCACACCTCATCGACCACGGTCCAGAAATTCCTGCTGAAGGCCGCTGCCAAGCGGAAGTTCACGGTCATCCATGCCGAAGCCTTCCCCAACAACCACGAGGCGACGCACGCAACCGTCAGCGGGGCCAACCCCCACGACGACGAACTTCTGAGCACTGAATCCTTCCAGAAGCCTTTGATTGCTCTGGGCATCACCGTCATCCTCATCCCTGACTCCGCGGTATTTGCGCTCATGTCCCGTGTCAACAAGGTTATTCTAGGCACGCACTCCGTTCTGGCCAACGGCGGACTGGTCGCCTCAGCCGGTACTCGGGTCATCGCTCGCGCCGCCAAGGTGCATCAGACCCCTGTTGTTGTGGTGAGCGGTGTATACAAGTTGAGCCCGGTCTATCCGTTTGACTTCGACTCGTTGATCGAGTACGGAGACGCCAGCAAGGTCATCAGCTACGAGGATGGCGACTTGGTGGATCAGATTGACGTGCAGAACCCGCTGTACGACTATGTTCCGGCAGAACTGATCGACCTCTACATCACGAACTTGTACGTTCCATTTCTTGTGACGGTTTCCGCACTGTTTGACTTAGTACTGACCACTACTTCTCTTTTAGGGGAGGACATGCGCCATCTTACCTGTACCGTATTGTTTCGGATCACTACCGCAAGGAGGATATCAGTGTCTGAAGCCTGGCCAATAAAGGCAGAATCACATAAAAAATTACAATGGCGAAAGAAAAGCGGATTTATGAACAATTGGATTGCTCATGGCCGGACGAAGGTCACATGCCAAAATGGATATAAAAGGCGTAAGGAATTATCATAGACAATATAAGAGACGATACCCAAGGCGTTTGTTACACAAAGGGACTCATCGAATGCGGTCTGCAGCGACCCAGTATGAGTATAATCGAGCATTTCCAAGAACTACGTCAAGATTACAGAGAGTAAGTTTTTTTTTTTTTTTTTTATTTTTGAAGAATTTGATATTTTGGGCCCTTCCCAAGGAAATCAATCATGGCGCCATGTTTTTATGGATATAACAATCGTAGTGAAAGCCGCAAATATTGGGTTTGTATTTGCAGGGTGTCTTTCTCATCCAGCGCCTTTCTTTGCTTTGAACCATTACAAAAAAAGGGAAAAAAAATATTCCAGACCATAGAAGAAAAAAAAAGTTTCGCCTCCCAAGCCGATAAGTTTTTATTCTTGCTATGGAATGGGCCCCCCCAAGAGAGAGATCCTCCCCCCGGGAAAAAATATCATGATTCCCCCGGAGTAGTAGCCAGCATCTTGTTTTGCGTTGGTGGTAGGTTGCTTAAGAGCGGGGCTTCTCCTTCTTCTCCTTCCAGAGGGCCATGAGACCGACACCGGAGACCTTGACGACCTTGAAGCGGACACCGGGAATATCACCCTTGGCCTTACCCTTACGACCGAAACCGGCGAGGAGGACCTCGTCGTTCTCATCGATGAAGTTCAAGCAACCGTCGTTGGGGACTGTAGAGGGGTGTCAAGGTCAGCGGATTATTCATTTACGTAGATCGTGGTTCTGTGTAGTCGCTGTGATGGACATTCTCATTGTCGCCACCTGTGGTTCTTCACGTCGCACTCAATGCGCAACCCATGAACCATCCACATGATCGTCTCCGAGAATCCACCACAGAACACACAACTAGGGGGAGAGGGATGACCCACCGAAAGCAGTGACCTTCTTGCCGTTCTTGATGAGCTGGACCTTGACACACTTGCGGATAGCGGAGTTGGGCTGCTTGGCCTCAACACCGACCTTCTCGAGGACGATACCCTTGGCGTGAGAAGCACCACCGAAGGGGGAGGACTTGTAGGCGGTACCGAGAAGGCGCTTCTTGTAGTGCAAGTCGGCCCAACGGTTCTCGCGACGGGTGGTCGCGAGCTTGCGGGCGGCGTTCAAACCACGGGGCTGTCCCTTACCCATCTTGTCGGATTATGTGCGGAGGACTGAAAACTGTAGCAGCAAAAAATAAGGCGTTAGATGTCTTTGTTTTCCTTGACTTGGGCCATCGCGTAGTTCCTGGTTTTCCAGGTCCCCTAGAGTATGCGCGGATCGTGAAATGTGCATTGCGGTGTGTGTCCATCGGTGCCGTGAATCTTTATTCTTTGCTCGGTATTCGATCGGATCCCTTCTCTTCTCGATGTTCCCTTCACATGCATCTTCTTGCTGTTCCTGACTGGACTGATTGGACGGGAGGCGAAATGGGTGTCGAAGTATCGTACTGGTGAATATTGAAGGCGAGAAATATCTATCGGCGGAGGGACTCTTTCGCTCTCTCTCTAGGCGGGTTGCACTTTCGATCTCACGCAAAAACCGGGGAACATGGAAAACCAGACGCAGAGAATGATAGCAATGAGAGGAAAATCGTCAATACGTACCGACTGATGGAGATGCCGAAAGGCTGGATGGGCGGATGGATGTCGAGAAGTCGAAAGGTCAAAGGGGGGGTCTTCCTTTCACGGCCGGCGGTCGCTCGACTAGATCGAAAATGTTCTGCTGTGCGCCTTCGCCCTAAACGGCCGCTAAGCGAGACTGCCCACGGCAGACCTTTTCTCCGAGCCGATTATGCCGGTTTTCACCGCCTGTCGGCTTACTCCATCCTGGGAAGAGTCCATCGATAACGATAAGACCCCGGATGGAACATCATGCATGTTATCAACTACCCTACCCCTAACATACCCGTACTGTACTTTACGGCGTTATACAACCTTGTTAAACTCCAATCTACAGTCCTGTCGCTCTTCTGATCTCTCACTTTTCACTTTACAAACCTGGGCTATATTACCTAAAGAACCAAGTATAATGCCTTAATTCTAATCACCAGTCCACAACCAACAGAAACCCTAAAACACAATGGCCTCCAACACTCTCCGCATGGATCCCAAGATGGATCCCCGCATGGAAACCCTCCGGAAGATAAGCTCCCAGCGACTTCCCCCGCCAGTTCTGTTCCAAGGTCCCCCCTCCCACAATGCCTCCAACATCTCAATCCCGCCGCCCCCGGCATCCGTCGGCGTCAGTACCGGTGGTCGGACAGGGCCGGGGCCTGGACCAGGCCGCGGAGGCAGTCAATCGCCGCCGCTGCATCGGAATCGGTCCGCCCGCGGCGGCCTCGAGACCTCTGGCGGCACCTTTGGCTCCCCCTTCCTCACTCGCAAGCAATCCAAGGGGGATATCGACGGCTCCGATGCGATTTGGCAAGAGATGCAGAGCGCGCTCTCGGAGGTGGAGCTGAGTGCCACCACGGGCGAGCATGTGTTCGGGGAGAAACATTCTGAGGCCTTGGAGGATCTTCGGACCAAGCAGCTTAAGCTCGCGCAGGCGTGGGCACGCAGCGAGGCCGCCGATGACAAGGCCGTCGATGCGAAAGAGGCCGGTCCGCCGGCCAAGGGAGCTGCTGCTGCTGCTGCTGCTGCTGCCACGCAGGGCCAGGGGGCGCGGGGCGTTGCTGGCCCTGGCATCTCCGGGGAGCCGGCTTCCGTGGAGGATGGGGGCGCGGCTCGGAATCTGGATGAGGAGACGGAGAAGGATATTCTTCTTGCGCGCGAGAGACGCGAGGCTAACGATCGGTACTTTGATCGTGTGAATAACGGCGTTCTGGATGTTGTGGCTAAGTTGGAGGAGGTCGCCCAGGCTATGCGTGCTGTGGAGCGGGAGAGTCAGGATATCTGGAGCGATACTGATAGCGTGAGCACGGCGACAGAGACTACAGCAGATGCGGGCTGAACAAGCAGATGCGGGCTCGCACTCGAATCTCGTCCCCGATATGATCATCTCTGGCAAGAGATCAGCTGGTATGACCTTTTCGCCTGCAGGTGGGTTTCATGCTAGCTCACCAGGCATACGGACCTGGAACGGGCACTGCTGGGACTGGAGCTTGAGGGTTCAAGCCAGATGCCACTGCGCGCGGAGGGCAATATCCGGCCTTCGCCGCGTCTATCTATACTAATGCCGATAGTCTGTCTACACCAGACACTCTGTCATATCAAAACGACGAGCAATAATTAATTCGCAAAGGACACAGTAGAAGAACTTCCCCAACTTTTCAAAGTACCAACAACAAATCAAGGGTATCAGAGACACGAACCACTACCGATATCATACAAGCCCAAGCATGACACACATAACAAAATCAAAACCCCTTCTAACAAAAACCACATCCACACCCCCTCTACTCGTTCTTCACCAGCCTCGTGGCCGAGCTCCACCCTTCCACCGCCATATCCCGCACGTCCTCCCAGCTAGCCTCGTAGGCCTTGTTCGCCAAGGTCTCCACCTCTGTGTTCCAGCGGTGCTTGAGTAACTCGGACAGCGTCGGCTGGGTGCGTTTGGGCGGCAGCTCCTGTAGCTTCTCGGTCTCGCTGGGGATCAAGCGGCGATCGTAGGCGCCGGTCGACGAGGCCAGCCAGGTCAACGCGCGGGTCTGGTCGCGGATTGCGTTGCGTTGCTCGAGACGGTTGTACCGATGGACTTGCACGGTCAGGTAGAGGACGGTCGTGGTCAGGGCGAATCCACTCGCCTAGAGCTGAGGTTAGCTTCGTGGACGGCGTGTAGGATTTAGGCGTGGCTGGGGTGTCTAGGAATAGTGTCCATGGAATAAGTATCGGGGGTAAAGTCCGACTTACAAACCCTGTAAAGAAGCCCATTTGGGAGATATGGCCAGTGACTGGCTGGAGAACACCCGTTCGAAGTTTCGCAAGCCTGCGGGGTGCAGTGCTATTGACCGGGGCAGTTCAAGCAGGCGGGGAGAGATTGAACGACGGAAGAAGGTTGCAGACTGGCAAGGGATTCGAGATGCTGGATGTGGATGGATCCAACCGGCGACAATATTGAAAATATGATTCGATGCAATTCAGATACAATAGTTCTCTGAATATCTGAAAAAGCAGGTTTACCCCAGAAAGTTGCCGACAGTAACTGAAGTAATGCATCGTTGCAAGTCAAATAGTTACAGCGATTCCAACAAGCGCGGGACCGGGGCCAGCCGTCGACACGCACTCCGATTGGCCGATGCGGGCAAACGCCGAATCTTTTGCTTCTCTCTCGCAGAACTTCAAACCGCATGAATCGATAACCAAGACCCTTAACACCCAGACTCAACCCCTTCACCCACCCACACACCTACACAAACATCTACCCCTCTGGATCTCGTCAATTCGAATCCCACCCTCAACTGGATCGGATATACACCTCGAAACCGTTCCGTTCCATCCTCTAACACCCAACAACCGGGGTAGAGAAAACGACACCAACCTACACCACCACCACAACCCCGATACTCCCAACCCCCATCATAAACCAGCACAATGGCCGGAGGCGCAGCCAAATTCCGCCACCTGAGCCGCAAGTCGTCGCACCGACAAGCCCTCCTCCGCAACCTGGTCACCTCCCTCTTCACGCACGAGTCGATCACCACCACATGGGCCAAGGCCAAGGAGGCCCAACGACTGGCCGAGAAGCTGATCACTTTGGGCAAGAAGAACACCGAAGCCAGCCGGAAGAGCGCCCTGGCTACGTTTTACGTGCGTTACACCCCATCCCAGCTTGCCCCAAGCCCATTCTTTCCCTTTTCCCCCCTTCTCAGATCAAACCTACTCCCAAGAGAATCCATGTTAATAATAGGACTGAAAATAAAGACCCCCCACTCCATCCTCCCCAAACTCTTCGGCCCCCTGCGGGAACGCTACGCCAACCGACCCGGCGGCTACACGCGGGTGCTGCGCGTGGAGCCCAAGAAGGACGACCAGGCGGAGAGCGCGATCCTGGAGCTGGTCGACGGCCCCAAGGACATGCGGTTCGCCCTGACGGCGCGGACCATCGCGCGCCAGCGCGCCAAGGGCTTCGACACCCTCAACGAGATCACCGCGCTGAATGTCCGCAAGGTGACGCGGTTCCGGGACGGTGGGGTCGAGGCCCTCGAGGATGAGGTGCAGAAGTTGAAGCTCGGGGGGCATGGTGAGAAGACGGCCAGTAACAATGGCGAGGGCAAGGGCTTTGGTTGGAAGGGGCGGAAGGAGAAGGCCAAGAAGGCGCCTCTGGCTTAGAGTGAGAGAGAGAAAGGGACGGGGTTGGATTTGAGCGGGGAGGTTTGGGTTTGGGTCCTGCCACAAAAATGAATTCATAAATTGAGGGTCGGATAAGGCAACTGTTTCTCTTCTGGGTGATTTTGATTGTGATGGTGGGGTTTGTTAGCAGCGACGCTGGTCCGCCTTTTCTGGTTTGTTTCTTTTTTTTTCTCCATTTCATTTATGTACCTTATATCAATTCGTATGTTGTTTCTCTCGGCTGCTGCTTTCTTCTCAACCTGACTGGACCAGTGGCTGGCTGCGACTGTATTTCTAGCTGACTTGGCTTATCGAAAATCATATTGTTCAAACAAAAGGAGCTCACTCGATAGTAGTCAAACTTAAGAATTACCACGACGTTAGAGATAGGCTAAGAACGGCGACTAATATGGTTTCAGCATCGATTCAATCATACATTTATTGTGTCTAAGCACTGTCGCCCATCCCCACACCAGCAAGATCTAATGAGATATAGCAAGTTTTAAAGCTACTGTGACATGTTCGCATGTCAGTAGCTAAGCACCACCAAGCGCCATGGAAAGCCCAGTCCTGGTCTGCGCGATCAACGAACCGCAGACGCAACAAACCCCCCACAATTCGAGAATGGGCTATTTGGGCAAGCCAGAATAGGCCCCACACTCTCCATCCTTCTGATAAATCTGCCCCGAATGGGGGATCGCCACACCAGACCCTATCACACGTGCTTGGCCACGAGAAGAAAGTATGTGCACTTTTGAAAATAGAAATCAGTCTATCGACCGAGCAATAGTACTAGTTAGAACGTCAATTCGCTCGTGGTAACATAGTTCCTCCGGAAACAACGAGCGGGCCATTCTTGCTGTTTAGCGAAGTGTTTGGAAAAGGTGGAGTTGAGGTAGGCACATTTCGATGCTTCATGTCGAATTCGGATGGCACCTCGGACGGTGGTGGCTTGGGAGGGAGATGAGATGGCGTTCCCCATTTGGCAATTGAGTCTCGTCCACCGGAGGGTATACTGCGAGGGAGACTCTGCCCAGCGGACCCCAATGCATCCGGACTCTTGTTGTTGATATCCTGATAGCCATTCCACTGTGGAAGGACCCCGGGCTGCAGGCCTTGGTACGGGCCCATGCCGTGCTGACCGCCCTTAGCAGGGTGCCGTGCTAATGTGGCTGCTCCACCTGGAACAAACGAGCGGGTTTGAGGATTGAAAGGAGACCGACTAAAGTTTCCAGGCATAGGGTGAGAGCCTGAGTGAGGCTGCATAGCAGGGCTCGTTGGCTGGCCCGGATATTGAGTATAGGGATACGAAGTAGGGGTAGGCGGTTGGGTCTGATAATTTGTCCAAGCGGCCGGGACATGGGTAGGAGGGTGGTTGCGATGAGGCGGAAGAGGATAGCCGCCAGGATAAGGTGGTGTCGACCAGCCGGGCGTCTGTTGGTATTGTACAGAGTTGGGCATAGGATAGCTGCCAAGCGCAGGTGATGATTTCGTAGACGCCATTGCCGGCGACTGAGTGATGGATGCATATCCTGTGTAAGGAGACTGCTGAGAAACAGGCCCATTTTGCCACGGACCACTCGGCGTCATTTGGGGAGAGACAGGCATCGAGTAATGGGGCATCGTGTTCTGATTCACGGGACCTGGGTACATGGCCCCAGTCTGCACACTAGGTGTATAGCCCATACTGGGTGGGGATACTCCAGGTCCAACCATGCAGGGCTGGTTTGGGAAAGACGGATCATTCATAGCCGTACCATACGGCACTGAACCGTTGCCAAACTGCATCCCAGGGTAGTAGGCATTGAACTGAGACCGAGCTTCGAAGCTGTCGTCATGCGGCGTTTTCTGTCGGTGCGTTTTCTTGCGTCCGCTGGTTGAACTTGAGCGCGACATGTTGGCGCTACTGTCGCCATTCGCGGTTTCGGCTGCTGCCTTTGACTCAGGGAAATCTCGGAAGATGCGCTCGCGCGCTTCCTGATACTTGGCTTCTCGCTCCTCTCGGGTAAGAGCTAGTCTATCTTTCGCCGGGGTGGCACCTGCAGAAGAACCACCACGATCTCCGTCGTTACCGCTGTCGCCAGCTTCCGATCCATCTTTCGATTGACCAGAGCTTGCTGCGATGCTGCCCTCAGTGGAAGGTCGCTCACTGCCTGCACGTCTCATGATCTTCATGGCAGGCATGGCAGGTGGCGGCGTGCTGTTGTTGGCAGCATATATGATGGACAGGGGCGTTGGCCTGACAAGACATTATTAGCGCGCTGTTCTGCCCTAAGACTATGCAAGAAAAATATCAACATACAGTCGACAGAAAGGTGTTCTGTGAAGTCTGACTGACGTGACATTGTTATCCACGAAGTGGGTCAGATGGTAGTAGTCGCCCAGTTTATGAGCCAAGAGTCTCCCAAAAGCATTGGAAGGAGGAAGTTCCAATGAATGCTCCCTGTTGACCAAAAGTTAGAGCCCAACGTACAGACACCACGACACAATCAAGAACTTACTTGGAGTTCTGTATGAAATGCCGAACCTTCTCTTCTAGCTGTAGAATCAGAAGACGATCCTTAGGGGATTTAATGGCCTCAAGAAGCTTTTCATCTGGCTCAGACGGAAAACCATGTATGGGTCGTCCAGCTTGGAAGGCCTCCGAGTTGGGGGTGATAAAGCCGCTGGACATCGCGTCTGGAAGAATAGCACCGTTACTATGCTGAGTGCCGTCGGGATACACTGGTCCTGTCGGCTGAAGTATAGCCCGCGGTCGTTGTATGTCCCTAAACCCGCGAACACCCGAATCGGATCCCGTCAACGAATTGGGTGCACCAGAAGCAGGTCCGGAGAGAGATTCTTCCTCGTCAATGGCTTGCACGCTAGCACTATCATCAGGACGCAAAGAGTCCTTCTCGTCCATAGCAAATGTGGTGACTGACGCCATGCTCTTCGAGTCAAAACTCGTCGGTTTGGTCGAAGAACTTGACAGATGGGTGCGGTCATCCTCGTCAAAGGATGACTCCCGTTTCAATAATCCATTTTCTGGACCCTCACTAGAAAAATCGGGACTATCATGATATTTCTTTTCCGAAAAATCAATGCCTTGTACAGCCTGGGAGAGACCGTCAACGTTTCGATCGCTAGTAGCGGCATCATCAGGAGCGTTACTAGGGCCTAGCTGGCCAGAATGAATGTCATGGGAGCAGTATAGTTCGGAGGATGATGGAACTTCGATCGACTGAGAACCTTGTAGCTCGTCAGATGGCATGGAAGCTACCGGTCCAAATGGTGGAGGCATCGCAGCAATCTGTGAGGGTTTGTCAGACATGAACCTGGCCATGACCTAGTTGTTGCACCATAACCGACCTTTGCAAAGGAAAGACGGTGCTCGTCCCTCGTAGAACCTTTCGATGCCATTATCATGCGAATGCTTTCCGCCGGATCCGAGAATCTCTTTCTAACGTTTTCTTTCTTTGGTGATGAAAACGAGCGAGCGGGGAACCAACGGCTGAATAGGAAATCCCAACAAGAGAAAGCGCACGACTGAGCTCAACGCGTTCAGGAGTTGGCGAGAGAAAAAAACCGGAATTCGAACTGATCAAGAGCCACTCAAAGAACCCACTTCACACAAGCCCAAAAAGAAAGACGGCACATCTCTGGGAAACGTAATTCGCCATAAGGAAAGCTGCTTAAGGTTAGAACCGCGCAAAGTACATAGAGCCGTTTCGTGGGCTAAGCGGAGAGTAAGGTGACTGACTGATCGATCAGGGGAAGAAAGCCAGTGACGGAAGACGCGAGAATGGCCGGCAACGCAGTCTGAAGAAAAAAGTGACTATTATTACACGATTGTCAGAACGATCGATCCATAGCCCTCTTTGATAAGCTGACTCGTGTCTTTTTGGGGAAGGTTGGAAAAAAGGTTTATATGACTTGGGGAAGAGGGAGGAAGAGGGGAGGAGGAAGAGGGAGTGGGGAGAGAAGAGAATCTTCCTACAAGAGAAATAAAGAATAGGGGGAGCTTGAAGACAAGCAACCGCCCTGGAAGAGCAAGTTGAACGGAGCCGACAGACAAATAGTACAGTACTTTAGATAAGTACTGTGGAAGGGTATGGTGTGGCCCGGAGTGGGTGGTGGTGGTGGTGGTCCGTCGCAACTATGCGGGTGTGGAAAGTGAATGAGTGGGTATGGGATGGATTCTTTTGGGCTGAAGAAGGAACGACAGGAAGCAAACCTGACCAAGAGAGGACTGGCTGGCGGCAGGCACGCAGGCAAGAAAGTTTAGCCGCGCGTTTAGCCCCGATGTTGTTCCGGCCCGCATGGTTGGCTTGATCAGCCGCCGAGGACAAAGCCTGGAAAGACTGGCAGTTGAGATTCCATACTAGTAATTGCCCAGTGGAACAGTAACCTTACATACTACGGATACCGAGTATCAAATCTGAGTCGGGTCGGACCGTGAGCTACAGGCGAGGTAGTAGAAGGGCTGAAATAAATCCCCTCCCTGTCGTTCCTTGTGGTCAATCACGTACTTCCACTTCAGCGCCTATCAGCCAAGTCTCTCTAGCCTCGACCGGCTGGCGATCTGAATGATGAATCGGTATCGAAATGCCCCCGGGCTAAGAGGCCCTAGCAAGGCAACAGCCAGCACCTTGTGCCAAAAATGCTTGCAACGAGATATGTACCCGTTTCGCTCTTATGCCTCTGGGTCGCAAACTGACGTGGTTTAGCACGGCACTACAGCTATGAATGTAAAGCCACCGCGCAGGAGCGGCCTTACATGTCTCGCCCATCGCGCACGCAGCAGTTGCAGAACCCAAAGCTGCGACCGCAATTAACAAATGATGCTTACAAGGATGCCTTACGCACGTGAGTCTGCCTCGGTTCCAACTGTGCTTCACTCTTGTGTCGTCATCAAGAAATTAACAAGACAATAGGAAGGAGTCTAATGATGCGCCTTTGACCAGGCATGAGGAAGAAAGAGGCCGCAAGAGAGATTTTGACCAGGTGGATCCGTTACACAGCCCAGCTCACCTGTCAAAGCGAGCACGCTCGGCTTCTTCGCATTCAGCAACCTCTGTATCGACAATTTCGACAAGTCGGTCGCACTCCCGGTCGCCTCCCCGCCGCAACGAGCGGACACGATCAGTGTCCTCTCGTCCTTCTGGTCACAGGAAGAGGCGCTATAGTGATGCAACTTCCGCTCACTCCGTTGCTTCTTACACCTCGGGAGAAAGAGGTTCTCGGTCTAGGTCGCGTGAGTGGTCAGATGACAGAAGTACCCGACGGAGACGGCGCGCTTCGAGTCCAAACGAACGAGGACGTTCCAGAAACATGTCGCGAGATGGTGGACGAAGGGATCGGTCTAGAAGCCACAGTGTGGATCGCAGTCGAATGGCCAAGGGTAGAAGATCGGTGAGTCCCTCGCTGGCGACTGGGAGCGATTACCCAGCTTCAAGTCACCGCAAGGCGCAACCCCGTGCGGAGCCTGTGAGCAGTGGCGGCGGACGTGGCCCCGGTCAGGGTGTTCCTCCGCCCCGGCGGGAGAGAAGTCTCAGTCCCTACAGCAAACGCATTGCACTAACCCAGGCAATGAACCTGGAACGTTAGGGTCCTTGTGGGTTTTGGACAGAGGAAAAGTCATTGTGGAATTTGCGCGGGCGTATTGGCGTTCTAGCCTCGTATTATTATTATTGTTGAGACATTGTATGATAGGATTGCAAAGTCATTGAGAGCATAATGTATTGTATTGCTATGCAAAATTCCGTAACGCCTTGCGACTATTGCCCCTGACCCCAGCAGAAGAGCGCCTGATAGATAACGAGATGAAACCGAGTCGTGCCACCACCTATTGTACACCATTCCTAGGGTATCAAGATTATGCCGCACCGTCCTCCTCCAGCTCCCTCCGTTCCTCTTCCTCCTCTTCCCTTTCTCGGACATGAATTCCCTCCACCAACATTTCGCCTTCAATGCCCACTTCCTCTCCCTCTTGAGTGCTGGATGCTGCGCTCTTGGCTTGCGCGGCCCGCTGCGCATTTTCAATGCGTTGGCGCACCAGTCTTGCGATGGCGTTCTGGGTTCGCACATTCAGGACGTTCATTTTCTCGTCCAGGTCACGCTTCAAATCCCAGTTCGGCTTCTTCGGTTGCAGCTTGAATAGATCGATTGGCTGATCCTCCTCCGCATCTTTCTTCGCTTGTTCAGCGGTTGCTTTAGCAATCTCCGCAGCTTGGGCTTCCACGGTGATTTGGCCATCATTCGGGGCTTGATCAAATCCAAGCTTGGGTCCACGAGTTTCCGGGTCGTAGTTTCTGCCGGACAGGTATTGCTTGGTCACGTCCGGAGCAGCCTCTTCGTACCCATCGTTGGCGGCCCCAGCTTCCGTTACTGACTCTGGTTCCGGCTGTTTGCGCTTTAAGGCGGCAAGCTTCGCAAGTCGAGCTTTGCGGTCTGTCGCAGCGGCATCAAGAGAGGCATGGCTGGATGACATGGCTGCGGAGGGGATGTGGGCGACGGAGAGAGCTGCGAATGACCAGGTCGAGGAGGGGGAGGGGAATGTGGATTGCCCAGTAGCTAAGAATGAGCAAAGACAAGGGTGGAATAATATATGTTTCTGCCTTTTTCACACCCTCGTAATCTCAGGAAGCGTCTCAATAGCTGGAATAGAGCTTGGCTAAAGCGGTGGTGGCACAAATTAAATTGAGGTAGTAGTAGTATCAAGTAACTGGTTGCGCTTTAGTAGAACTGATTGTCGGCAGTGATTTGCGCGCGCCACAGCCCAGGATCTCCTCAGCCACACTTTATCCGCGCCGGAGCAAAATCGGGCCCTTTCTTTCCCCGGGTTCGCCGCGAGAAAGACGTTGTGCAATATTGCCCAGTCACCCCTTCCCCGGTCGCTGAATCCTAACGGGTTTTACTGTGGTCTTTTGCTCAGCTGGCCCAAGCAAATCCAGAAACCGAGCACTGGATGTCATTCAGTCCGCATCGCTTCTTGCGCCCCCGCTATGGTGCTGGGTTGCCTTCCTATGCACTGCAGCCCCGACTCCGCCCCGGATATTGGTGTCGCCAGAGAGAAGGATTTCAGCATACGAGATGGCACATCCATAATGCGACGCCCACGAGTAAACAAATGTCGACGGAGCCTGACCCGACACTACACGAGTCAGCACCTCCCACCGAGCCCAGTGGTCTTGTAAACCACAGTCTTGACCGATCCCGAAACAAAGCGCAGTCTTCGTCCTCCTCTGCTCATACCACCTTACCAGAACCTGAACGTGATTTCTTCGACGATTCATCTTTTCCGCCGCCTAAGCCACTCCAGATCTTGGATGCTTGCGATCCCTGGAGCGATTATTCGGCTTTGCGCACTCCCGACTTCCACAACGAGGGTAGTCGGCGACTTCGACACAATGCACTTGTGGTGAATGGTGGCACTATCAGCTACCGAGAGAGAATGGTGGGTGAGGAGGCATTCCACGCGGATGAAAAAATACGAAGTTCATCTTTTTTCGTCGGTTCACCTAGGCTTCGGAGGTGGAAAGTTGCCCGCAATGAGCTGTTCAAAGCTAAATACTTTGATCGGCCAGTGGCACGGGAGGACCTTATCGAGGAGTTTCACATGCACAAAGCTGACAAGGAGCTACTGGCGATACTGCAGAGTGAAGATTTTGACAAATTCCGCGAGGAGTGGGAATTTAAGGACATGGCCATCAAAGGTGAGCACTGGATGAGGCTGTCACTCTGGCTTATAGCAAACTCCCCGGAGCTTGCTTTGAAGTTTCTCTATATAACTTGCCAAGGCGAGAAGAGGCCGCTGCATGTCATGGTCTGCGAATGCCTGCTTTTCTTGCGAAACTACCCAGATTTACTTTCCACCTGGACTTGGGAGGGGAAGACCTTCGCCGATATCCTCGCTGCTTGCTTAGATCCAGAACACTGGCCAATAGTCTATGCATCACAGAAAGGTATCCGTTTTTTCGTCATGGGAGCAGATGACGAACAAGTTCTTCGAGCCTGGAAGCTCGCCCACGAGCGACAAGTGTACACGTCTGCTGAAACCTATCTTGCTTACGCGGCTCGCTTCACCAAGATGAAGAATGTCGATTTGGCCCTCGCAGCCTTGGACCATGTACGCCAGATTGGACAGGTTGGCCTGGAGATGACGTCCCAGCCAGTCAAGTCCCACGGCTGTCTGCTGTTGCTGCTCGACTCTGTCGAGGATGGCCCCAACGGGCGCAATTTCCGCATCCTTCCCAAGCTCCTCGAGATGGGCATGCGTCCTGACTTGGAGATGATGGATCTCATTCTAAGAAACTGTTACAAAACAGGGGATGAAGAACTTGGTCGCGATATGTTGAATCACATGCAGAGCCAAGGCTATCCGTTGACGACCTATACCTATGTGACGCTATTGTCCGATGCCACCCGGCGACTGGACCGACATGAGATTGATCGGCTCCGGGATGAAATCGACATGGAGGGAGAGGACATCCGGACCAACAAGTTTGTCCAGTCCAAATTGTTCCACGCGTACTTCTGTCTCAATGTGAAAGATCAGGCGAATCGGCCTTCGGAAATAGACAACAAGCACGCATTTCGCACTCTGCTGAAGATGTACAATGAGATGTACGACATTGTACCTTTGAAGAAGCTTGGGATTGTTCCGGCATATTATCAACCGCCAACTACCGAACGAACCACGGTGAGAACCTCGCCTGACGCCGTACCTCTTTTCCTCATGATTGCGTCGTACCTTCGGTGCAACAAGCATGTTTCTGTCACTGCGCATGTCTACGAACGCTTTATCGAGCTCTTAGAGAAAGAGGACCCAGTCATCTCTTCTCTCGCTAGGACGGATCACACTTGGCACGAGTTTATGCATGCATGGCGTAATGACGTCCGCGGACTGCGTCCTTCGATCCGCCTTGTCGATACCATGCAGCGTATTAGCAACGAAGGCAGTGTCAGCCCGAATAAGCCACACTTCCGGCCGAAGCCGACAGTCTACATCTGGACGACGTTGATATCTGCGTTCCTCTGGAACAAAGAACCGCGGGCGGCAGAGCACGTGATCGAGATGATGAAGAAGAGCAAGTTCAAGTTTAACCAGATCTTGTGGACCACCTTGATCGACGGCTATGCTCGGAACAAGGACATTCTCAAGGTCGCTGAAACCATCCGAGCGATGGAGAATGATGGCTATGAAATGGACGCGTTCTGCATCAAGGCGCTGCGCCACATTCAGGATCCGGAGCGACTGTGGGAGGCTGTGGAGGAGCTCGACAAGGAGACCGACGAGCAAGTAGACCGAACCACGTTCGAGTCCCTCACCAAGAAGTCGCGTCTCGACGAGATTCAGGACGACCAGGGCGACCCAGACTGGCTGCTCGATCAGGGTCTTCAACGCTTGAAGGCCAAACAAGCTTGAAGGCCTCATCTCAAGCAGGCGCGGAACTAAGATACCCCCACTTTTTTTTCTTTTGGAGCAACTCGGATTGATTCTTCAGCATAGCTGGTGTCCATGGGAGGGAGAGCATGGCGGTTGTTACATGGAGCGTTTTGCGGCGTCCAGACAGGCACAGGATGTATTTCGTAAAGTCACATTTCTTCGATATCATGTACATATCCATCACTTCTAAAATCCAAGAAGAGAACATCAAGCTTCATGCTACACAAACGGCATAGTGAGAGTGAAAAGATTCAAATTAACGCCACTAGCTGATGTAAAGGACAGTATACTACCATGCGATTTCCTGAACCCGTAAGAAAGGCAAGACACCTCGATCAGCCGCCGAAGAAGATGGAAACCTAGAAGATAGAGAACCGTCAGCATTTGGAACTCGACTCAAGGGGCTGTCCCTCTTTGTCATGCGAGTTTAGGTAGGGCAACCTACAGCCATCACCACGCAGCAAATACTGACGTAGGGGCTCAGCCGTTCACCGATGCGAGCACATTTCCAGAAGATGCCGAAGAAGCTGCAAGCAGTGTTAGAGAAGCTTCGTCCGGTGAGTGAGAGGAAAGGATGGCAGTTAATGAGGCCCTGCTGATAGCAACCAACAACACAACACATACCCATTCTGATTCCGGTCCATGATTCCCGGCATGATCGAATGGGCGTAGGTGCTCGTACAGATGATAAGCAGGAAGACCAGCAGAAGTGACTGGAAATTGAAGAGCGCCGACTGAATTTACAACAACAAGTCAGCATCACCGCTTGTGAAAGATTCTTCCAATTGCACTGGGCTGCATCTCACTTACCATCTTGACGAAGTGACCGAACCAGCTGCCTGGCCTCCTGTTCTTGTTGTTTCTTCAAATGCAAGCTCGCGAGGAAGGGGCCTTCTCTTCTTCCTGAACTACCTCACTGCAAACACGAACTTTCCACTGGAAGACCTGCACAAGAAGTGGACGCCTTTAAAGAGCACACAATTGAAGTAGAGAAGTTGGTTTCACCACTTCATCGTCATCGTCATCATCGATCGATCATCCTTCGACGGCGGAGGGGGATTCATTCTGCCAGCATGTCGTCCGGCAGTTACCGCCACCGCCTTACGGGGTCGAGGCCCGCGCTCCGCTATGCGCCGCCGCCGCGGGTCCGTCCTACAGCCCGTGTTACCCGGACTACTCCTACTACTACTACAACAAGACCTTCACCAACATCACGCCAACCACCACAACAACCATCATCATCCTCTGCACCGCAGACCGCAACCCCGCGCGCTGCTCAACCGCCACCTTCCACCCGGACGGTCTCGTCCGGCCCTCCCCGCCAGCGCAGCACAGGCCATGTGTCGAGTAAACTCGCCCCTCCTTGGCCCTGGAACACCGAAGAAACAGATCTAATCCACGCCGGCTATCGACCCGCCTACCCTCCTCCTTCTCCTGCTCCCAAAGTCGACGCCTCAACCGAACCAGCACGAGCGTCAACATCAGCACCAAAACCCCAACCCACAACCAAGCTCAAACCCAAACCCACCCCCAAAAGAATGGCCGAACCCCGAGCCCGTGCCGCCCGGCACAAGGGGCAGATGAACTTCGCCTCGGAGCGTACGTTGCTTGCCTTACAGATACTAACCTCCCAAAACAAAACCCCTTCGAGATAACTAATAGCAGAGAAAACAGTCCGCCTTCTCCTCCTGGCCTACGGCGACCCAAGCCCCCACCCCTCCTTCCCCTCCGAACCCCTCCCGGAAACCGTCCGCGTCCTCGACGAGATCGTCACCGACTTCGTGCTGGAGATGTGCCACGGCGCCGCGCAGTACGCGAGCTACTCGCGCCGCCAGAAGATCAAAGTGGACGACTTCCGGTTCGCGCTGCGCCGGGACCCCAACAAGCTGGGCCGCGTGCAGGAGCTGCTGCGCATGGAGCGCGAGCTGAAGGAGGCGCGGAAGGCGTTTGATCAGAATGATGATCAGGTTGGGAATCTTAAGGATGCAGCCGCTGCCGCCGCGGCGAAGAAGGGTGCAGGGGGTGGTGCTGCTGCTGCGGCGGCGGCCGGGGACGAGGATTTCGGGGCGGCGGAGAGTGTGGATGGGAGGAAGAGTAAAGGGAAAGGCAAGAGGAGTGCTGCTGCCAGAAGGGATTCGGATGTCACCGAGGAGGGTAGTGTGACGGCTGGGGTGGCGAAGAAGAGGAAGGTGGGTGGTGGTTGAAATTCTGCGATTCATTCGTTTCTTGGCTGGCTATGTTTGCTACATGGCGTTCTCGGGGTTTCTTCTTTCTTCTTTTTCCTTATAACGCGGGGTGGGCTGGCTATCAGGATTGCATTGTGCATCGGGTGTATTTATATAAAGTGATATCCCATCATTCAGTTATCATTGACAGTGGGGGGCGTTGATGATAAGAAACCATACACTGAAATTTTGACACGCATTGTTGTTCTTGCATCAAGAGTTTAAAAAAATATATCTCTACTCTTACGATAAGCCCGCCGATCTCGAGCTAAACCTTCGGGACTATCTTATCAGTTGCACCGCCACACCAGTCAATACTTTATATATCCAGCCTTACACTAGCCAGCTCTCGACACTGCAAAGACCCCAGGACTCCGTACACCTTCTCTACTCTGTCCGGATGGAAGTGGATGAAACATGCATGCAATGATTCCTCTACCCTAAAAGCAAATTCTATGTTCTCTCGGCTCGCTGCATGAAGTACTCCGTTTTTGTCCTCTTCCTTCCCATGAGCGGGTTGCCTTGTCCAATCGTTCCGAACAAAAGCCAGACGGACTCCCAAGACGCCGTGCTCTCTTCCTTTTACTCACTTTTGTTGTCCGCTTTGCAGGTCCCATTGGTTGCGGGATTGCTTGCTCCCAAGGAGATACAGATCAGCCTGGAGATTAGTCGGCTGGATGCGACTGACAAGCACGGAACTACACCTCTTCGAGCTGGAGCTGGAGCGAAAGAGGGCACAGTTTGGCAGCAGACAGATATTCCAGGCAAGATCAAACGAGGGAGATTCTCCAGGGGCAGGGGGGAAGTATGTGTGGATGTGCGGAACGTTGTATGTATAGAAAGTGCTGGTATCGCGACCTTAGCTTTCGCAAGCTGAAGCGTAATACCAAGCAAGCCAGGAACTCAAGCTGGGCAACATGAAATTGCGGAAGATTCATAGAAACCGTTAATGGGATTAATATGCACGGAGAAAAGACCAAGTTGAGACAAAGAAAAGATATGAGAAAAAAGTGGGTGGGACGGTGGTTGAAGAGAGAAAAAATGGAAGGTATCGTTTTTCTTTTGTCTTTAAATCAGAACCCTATCATAATATCCTCTTTACGCGCGAGCCTCCTCGCCGCTCCGCTCTTGAGTCCGCTGCTGACCACCACGGCCTCCCTTGCCGCCCCGCTGTCCGCCGCGCTGGGCGCCGGACTCGCCGCTGCCTTCGCCGCCCAGGGTCAGCTGTGCGGTGGCTAGCCGGTTGGACAGCTCCATCTGCGTGCGGATGGTGTTGGCCAGGTACGACACAACCAGGACGTCCTGGATGTGGTTGTTGCTGCAGGTAATGGGTCAGATTTTGATGCTTTGTTTGGTGTACTGGGGCAGACTGGAAGAAAACTTACAAGTCACGCTCAATATCGGCGGGCTCGACCTTAGGAGCCAAGGCGAGCGTGTTGAGCAGGTACTGGCCCATGGCCGTGGAGGCGGGGGCCTCCTCGTCGATCACGGACTCGACATAGCGGGAAACGCGGTCGATCATACCGAGAACCTCCTCGATGGCGCGCTCAAGGGCCTCGATGTCGGTGAAGATGTTGGCGGAGCGCTCCTCGGCATCCCGGGCAGCGGCAATGGCCTCGAGACCGCTCTTCTCGGCCTCGCCGTAACGGATCTCATAGGGAACGGGGATGAAGGCAGCGCTGTCGGCAGCACGCTCAGCGGTCACGCCGACGGGGGCAGAGATGTAGGCGCGGGTCTCGATGTCCTTTCCGGCCTCGGTGGAGACGGTCAAGTGAACGGCGGGGTGAGGCCACGTGCCGTCGCCCTGGCCGCTGTAGAAATTTTGGATCAAGGCCGAAAAGGTGTTGAGCTCGGACGAGGTGGCGTACCAACCCACGAGGACCTCCTTGGGGTTGGCCTTCAGGTGCAGGGCGAGCATCTGCTTCTGGTATTCCATATCCACCTCAACTTGGTCTGTCGTCTCGGTGTGGCCCACGGCGAAGGTGCTGCGGATCTCGACTTCGGTGCCATCCTCGGACCTGGTTCCCAGAAGAGTACCGATGACACGCTCCTGGTCGGCATTGCGACGAAGAGAGTGGTCCAGGATGGAGAACAGAGCCTAGCAGCAACCATCAATCAAATCGCTCCTGGATGAAAGAAATTTAATAAAAACAAGCTCAAGCTCGACCTACCTGAGGCTGAATGACAACATTCACAGGGGCGGTCGTCGGTGCAGACCCCACTGCCACGGGACCCAGAGGGCGGGCGAGATGGACGAAGGAATCGGTGTCAGCCATGATGGGAGTGATGGAGGGGGAGAGAGCAAAGGTGGTAATGTAGTTGGAAGGAGGGGAGGAGGTAAAATGGCTGATTCACACAGTCGGAGATCTCTCTGTTTGTCTCCGGGGTGGGGTTGTGATGGTGGCTCTTCTGGGGAGGGAGAATTAAATCTTCTCTTTCCGCCTCTGGGCTGCGGCGGACGGAGGTTCTGCTGCGAGCCTCAAATTGTGTGTGCGCAAAGGGAATTTCGCGCTAAGATAAGATAAGCACCGCCGCCCAGATTCAACCCGCCCCGTGAAAAAAAGAGTTTCTGGTCGGGTTTCCCGCCTGTTCACTAGCTACAAATTTACCGGTCAGTCGCATTCAATTAGTTTCTGCAATTATCCAGAATGGCTCCTCCTCGTGGTAGAGGTAGAGCTCCTAGAGGGCGCGGAAAGCGCCCCCGTGGCGGCGTTAGTCGCAGAGATACCTTCCAAACATCCCGAGTCGACGAGATCCAGTGAGTGCTCCATCATATTCGCATCTAACACAAGTCACGCCAGCTGACCGACTGGTGGCAGGTCGGAAGCCTCGTCTGACAGTGAGAATGGCTCATTCGACGAGCCTATGGAGGATGCCGTGGCCGACGAAGAACTCTTGGACCAGGACTCGTCCGACAGCGAAGAGGAAGCGGACCAGAAGGGACATTCCTATAACGAGTTGTTGCAACTACTGAACGCCGGCAACGACGCCAATGGCCCCGCTCGCAAGAAGCGAAAGACCGATCACCGAAAAGCCGAGATTAAAGAGGTGACCCGCGATGACGCAGAAGAGGACGAGGATGAGGCTTTGTTGGGAGAGGACGATCTAGAGCAACAAGCACCGTCGGACGCCGAGGACGAAGACAATCAGCCCGAAGACGAGGCAGATTTACAAGCAGACAGTGATGATGAAGATGGTAGGAAGATCTGGACAATCTTCGATAATCGGGACATAGCCCGCTGATGCGCAGCAGATAATGATCCTTTCGACACCCACTTCAACACCCTCAAAGAAGAGGACTTGAACAAGAAAATTAAGGCCATTGAGGAGAAAAAGTGGAAGAGCACCAAGAAGGAACTTGCCGAGGGGCTGAAGTTCGTGCGCTCTATCCCTGATACGGGCGACGATGCATCCTTGTTGGCCGCAATGAAGAGCGTCTCGGGCGTCAAGGTAGGCCAAATTGTACTGAGTCTCCACATGACCAGACGGAGTCTAACACACATCATCGCTCTTAGCTCAAGAAGAAGCTCAAGGCTCCTGCAACAGAACATATCTCCAAGATCGATGGCGATGCTCAACATCTTGCGCCCTACATTTTCGGCTACCAGGATGTCCTTTATGGCGCTCGCACGGCAGACAACGCAGCTCACCTGCGAGACCTCCTGGCTCTGCATGCGACGAATCATATACTGAAGACGCGCGACCGCGTCCTCAAGAACAACGCTCGCGTGGCCAAGGAACAAGATTCCGACCTGGACGTCCGGGATCAGGGTTTCACTCGGCCCAAGGTGCTGTACCTGCTACCCACCAAGCAAGCCTGTGTGCGGGCGGTGGACGCCATCACGCGGTTCTTCCAGCCCGAGCAACAGGAGAACCGGAAGCGACTTCTCGACACCTTCTCGTCTGCTGACGACAAGTCCTGGGAGAACAAGCCGGACGACTTCCGCGACCTGTTCGGCGGCAACGACGATGACATGTTCCGCCTGGGTCTCAAATTCACGCGCAAGACCGTGAAGTACTTCGCTCAATTCTACACATCCGACATGATCCTTGCCAGTCCGCTCGGTCTACGCACGATCATGGACCAAGCCGAGTAAGTACTTTCTTCTTCACTGACCCTCACCCTTCCGCCCCCGAGAACGTGACCGGATAGCTTACTGACCCCCCTTCTCTCCTAGTGCGAAGAAGCGTGATCACGATTTCTTGTCCTCGATCGAAGTTGTCATCATCGACCACGCGGACGGTCTGCTCATGCAGAACTGGGATCACGTCGACTACATCCTCAAGCATCTGAACCTGCAGCCGCGGGAGGCGCACGGCTGTGACTTCAGCCGGGTGCGGACGTGGTACCTGGACAACCAGGCGCGGCACGTCCGGCAGATGATCATGCTGTCCTCGTTCCTGACGCCGGAGATGAACGCTGCGTTCTCGACGCAGATGCAGAACGTCTTCGGTCGGGTTAAGGTCAGCCCGGTCTACGCGGGCGCCATCGGGGAACTGGCGCTCCCCGTGCCCGTGCGGCAGACCTTCTCACGCTTCGACAGCCTCTCGCCGGCCAAGGATCCGGACGCGCGGTTCAAGCACTTCACGACGACCGTGCTGTCGTCGCTGGTGCGCGACCTCAGCAAAAACGGCGGCGGCGGCGGCGGCACGCTGATCTTCATCCCCTCGTACCTGGACTTCGTGCGCGTGCGCAACTACTTCGCCACCTCGACGCAGACGACCCACGTCTCCTTCGGCGCCATCAGCGAGTACACGGATGTGCGTGAGGGCACGCGCGCCCGCACCCACTTCGTGCAGGGCCGCCACTCGGTGCTGCTGTACACCGAGCGCATCCACCACTTCCGCCGCTACCAGCTCCGCGGCGTCAAGCGCATCATCATGTACGGGGTGCCCGAGAACCCGACCTTTTACGCCGAGATCGTGGGCTTCCTGGGCCTGGACCCCGCGCAGGCCGCCGAGGCCGCCCAGGGCGGCGGCGTCCGCGCCCTGTTCTCCAAGTGGGATGCCCTGAAGCTGGAGCGGATCGTCGGGACGAAGCGCCTCGGAAACATGATGCGCGAGAAGGGCGGGGATACTTTCACCTTCATGTAGATAGATAGGTTTTCCAGCTCCAAGCTGTATGTATTAGTACCGGTAGTGTAACTACTGGTCCGGAGAGAAGTCCGACATCGTTCCCGTCTCAGCAACTGCCATAATCCTCCAGCCAGCAGCCCCTGCAGTGCAGGGGTGGTCTATTGTTCTCTTTCCTTAAAATCACTTCTTCATCCATGATCATCCTGATAACAGCTACGTACTCTATGTATAATCCCAGCACTTTTGATCATGCGGACCCGCAAATTGTAAAGATTAGCGTGCCAATCCCCAATCCACTTTTACACAGAAAAAAAACAAACCATTCGGCTCCTTCACCGACATCCGTAGATCGGAGGGGGTGGTTGGGGTGGGAGCAGCAAAAGAAAAACCCAGTGCTACTGTAGCCTCACGATATAAGAAACATGACATGTAGAGGGAAACACCTTTGTAAGAATTTCGTTCTAAGGCGATATACTACGAACCTTGCATAGTCAAACCCGATCTGGTGATTATACAGCAGAAATTCGTCCAAGCGGGATTCGTGATAGCGTAAGGCTACAGTAACCGGGCAGAAGGGATGCCTACTGCTAACATCTTTCAACCCCAGTCAGTCTAAAAGTTTCTTTTGTTCAAGCTCAGCTGATTTACTCTCTCGATCGAATCAGAATCAAGTTCTGGTCTGTTGTTTTCAAAAAAGCTCGTCAAGTGCGCGAAAAGCGGTGATTAGTCATTCTGGGGGAGGCGTCCTTGTACGTACTTAGTACATTTTTTTTTTTTGCCCTCGCCGTTCTCTTTCCTCCGGCTGCTCTTTAATTCAAACTTCTTGTCGTCTCTGTTTTGTTGACGGAGAGGTTCAGGACTGGACCAGGGGAATGACTGAAGGTATATATACAGCACGTCTACAATAGAATCTGTGTATATTTCCTTATCGCTTTCAGATCGGATCTACTTGTGAGCAAAGTACTGTACAGTACCCAGTACATGTACAATCACTCCCGAGCCAGGGACAAACAGGAAAACAACCTCGGATAACAAACACAAATCAGCCTTCAGAAAAATACGAGGCAATTACAAAATGGCCACTTGCGTCACTCCTCGATCCCACGAGGATCCAAGCCAGCGGGAGACGATAAGAGAAGCACCCAGCGAGCAGAGTCCCCTTCTGGCTCGTTCATCACCAGCCATGATGCCTGATGAATTGACCTCAGCTTCCTCCCACCACCAGCCGTCCTGGTGGTCTTCCCTGCGCCACTCGAGCCAGGAGCTCTGGTTGCAGGGAAAGGGTATGATATTTGTTTTGGGCGCCCAGTTCTTCGGCGCTACTATGAATGTTATGACGCAGGTTTTGGAGATCAAGGGAAATAATGGGAAGGGGTATCATCCGTTCCAGGTATGTCTTGATGATCGCGTGCCGCTTTGCTTGATCGGTTGTGTGAAACCGGACGTTCGCTGCTGTGTTAGTCAACCGCTAATCTCTCCGCAGATCCTCTTTGCGCGCATGTCAATCACTGTCATTGCCAGTTATCTGTACATGTGGTACACCAAAGTGCCGCAGCCGCTTGGGACCAAGCCGATCTTGCTGCTTCTGTTCCTACGTGCCAGCGGTGGCTTCTTCGGCGTTTATGGGCTGTACTACTCAGTGCAGTATCTGCCTCTGTCCGAGGCCACTGTAGTCACCTTCTTAGTTCCCATCCTTACCGGATACGCCTGCTCGTTGTTCATCCCTCGCGAGACGTTCACCCGCAAGCAGTTGATGGCTGGGCTCGTGTCCCTGATCGGTGTCATTCTGATCGCTCGCCCGTTCGCCTTCATGCGCTCGGGGGAAGAGACTGACGATGGAGAATCGGGCGATAAGCCCGGTGCAACGGACAGCTATCACCACGTTTTGGCGATTGCTGTTGCCCTGCTGGGTGTCCTAGGAGCCACTTGTGCTTATACGACCATTAGAATGATCGGCCGGCGCTGTCACCCACTCGTGTCTGTCACCTGGTTCTCCTCGTACACGACGATTGTCGCCTCTCTCGCGATGCTGCTGGTTCCATCCATCCCCTTCGCGTTGCCCGTTACGCTGTTTGAATGGACTCTGCTGCTGGGTCTCGGAGTGTGCGGATTCCTATTGCAGTTCCTCCTTACGGCTGGTCTGTCTTACGTTCCCCCGGAACGGACGCCCAAAGATCTTGCGACAGGCTGGGAATCGAACTCGTATGGTACTCAAGCGAGCGGCCGTGTAGAGGATGAAGAGCAATTGCGGGGACAGCAGCTGCAGCAGCAAGCCGAAACAAAGCCTCCTGCAGCAAAGACCTCGTCCGGGTCACGCGCGACGTTCATGATTTACACCCAGATGTTGTTCGCGCTGTTCTATGACCGCATGGTCTGGGGTAGCACACTGTCCCCGGTGAGTTGGGTCGGGTCGGGGCTAATTCTGGGCTGTGCCATCTATGTGGCCGTTGCACGAGAGGACCAGAAACCCGAGAGTGACTCTGGTGAGACTGCCAGCAAGAACGACGTCACGGCTGCAGCACCGGTTGACGAGGAAAGTGAACGGCTGGAGGTAAGCGGGACGAGGTAAACGGGGGGCATGCAGTTGGATACATACTTCCTGCAAGTGGGCATAATAGGGAGGACGATATAAGGTATTTGACCCTTGGATTGATACACATAAAAGAACAAGTCGACTCCTGGGTAGTAAAGAATGCAACCCCATGGTAGATGCGGCTAGTGCGGGAGGGGCATAAAAAGCGGAGCAAGCGACTTGCATATACGGAGTGCAGTAGTAGGACGCTGTGATATAGAATGGTGATGAGCGACCAGCGGGAGATTGGGATGCATGAGTGCATGAGTGCATGAATTATATAACGAATGAGACGAAATGAACGATGCAAGAAAGAGGGAAGTGTTTTGAGTACTTGGTATGCCGCTGTGGATGGAGCAGAAGAGGAAGGTGCGGGGTGGGGCTCGACGGGACTCGGTTGACTTGCCTTTTTGACCAATAATCCAACCCCAGGTGGGTTTTCTTGTCGATCCGGGGGTGGACGGAGTAATCCATGATATATCTACGTATCGATCCAGTCCAATTCAACTCAACTTCCACTTCTACAGATTGATCTTGCACCATCTCTCTGACTTTGGAATCACATACTTACCACAGGACCAGCATTAAAAAAACGCCGAATAAACACACCAACCACAATCCCACCAAGCAAACCTAAAGGCAACCGACCATCCGTCTCCCCGGTATGCCGCAGCACAGTCTCCCTCGAATTGTCGGTTCGGAGCACTCTCGTCCTATGCGGCCATGCAGCCATGAAACCCAATGCATTGCAACTGTCCCTGCCAGAAAACGAGGCCTCATTTCGTGGTGGGTGTGATTGGACGCCACGACGTCATTTAGCTGTTTCTCCCCATCGGCTGGATTCACGGAAGAACCCGAGGTTGACCGCGAACGGCCATGATTGGGGGCAGCCTGAGTGTGATTGCCAGTGGCGTTACCACCTACTGTCTTCATGATTTGATGGACGTACCGAGTAGAGTGGGCAGTGGAGAGTACTTTTGACCCGATATGGCTGGAGAAAAGGGGAAGCTTATATAGAGTGTGCGGCCTCATCTCGCCCATCCTTTTTCCTCCATATACAGCCAATCGCTTTTCCTACACTCTTTACTTCGTTCTTTCGTGCTTCCTCTAGATATAGACAAAAGTCTCGATACAATGCGTCATTTCGACGCCTGGTTCCTCCGCGACCCTTACTCAATCTTTCACTACTATCCCACCAACCGACGCTGGTCTGAAAACATCCGCGAACTCATCCAAGAACGCCAAATCTGCGCCCCAACTCCGTCTGCCTCTGTAACCACGCCATCAACCCCGGATATTTTCAAGACAATCGACCCTCAACTCAACAGCCCCCTCTTCACCCGCCTGCCCCCCGAAATCCGGTCCATAATCTGGTCCCACGTCTTCGGCGAGCCCGTCCTCCACCTCGTTCAGATCCGCAATCAAATCCGCCACGTGCGCTGCCCCAATTCTGTCTCTGCGATTGACAAGAACCGGCGCTGCTGTCCGGTCACCGCCGCACGATGGCGTACAGACGTTGATACCTCGTCCGCTGCTTCACCAACCGACAGCAGCAGCACCAACAAGCAACACCTCAACACCGACCCCAACAGCAAACTCTACCCCCACACCCACCCCTCCCTCCCCTCACATCTCAGCACCACCCCAGCAAGCCTGCTGCGCACCTGCCGCGCGATCTACAACGAAGCAGCACCCCAGCTGTACCGCCAGGCGACCTTCGATGTCGACGACCTATCGACCTGGATCGCATTCACCGACCAGGTCAACCCGACCTGCCTGCAGGAGGTGCGGAGATTGAGCGTGCAGGTCGTCCCGCTGGGCGGGATGTTCCACGATCGGGAGACCAGCCATAATAATAACCATAGCCATATCGACAGCAACAACAACAGCAACAGCAACAATCCACCACCACCACCAGCAGAAACAGCAAGAACCCCCACCAACACCAGCCCCTCCCACTCAATCCACACTTACACGCACAACCCTAACCTCTGGACAACCTTCTGGCAAAGAACCACCACCCGGTGCCCGCACCTCACCGACCTCACCCTCTGCATCGACCTGGGCCGCTTCACCGCAACCGCAACCGCCATCCCCACCGCCACGAACCCTGCGACGGCCACCATAGTCGGCGGCTACAAGCTCCCGCTACACGCCGGCGTGGACGCGGAGTGGCTACGTCCCATCGTCCGGCGGGTGCGCGGATTGACGCGATTCGAGCTGGCGGTCACGGCGCGGTGCGATGCGGCGGCGCGGGCGGGGGTGGAGCGGGAGGTCGGCGGGGCGGAGCGGCTGGGGCGGTTGCGGGCGGAGATTCAGGGGTGGGTTTGTTCGAGCCGTTGCACTAGATTTGAGGAGGAACAGGATGATGCGGCGGCGGCGGCGGCGGCGGCGGAGTATGGGTATGACTCTGGGTACAGGTTCAGAGCTGGGAAGGAGGGGTGGCAGAGAAGAAAGCGGAGGTTGGCTATCTGTTCGGCTTGATTTTCCATAGAAATTCCCTCGGGAGGGAGGGAGAGCTGAATCGATGATAGAACGATAAAGTTATAGATACCCTTTTCTTCCTATTTTATCCGTCCAGCAACGTACCTGACAACCTCCAAAAGGCGCAGTGAGGTGAGATGACTCGCATTCTAGACATGAAGTACATACTGTATACACACTCTACACTCCGAGTGGCAATACACCATCCAAAGGTCAAAGTCCCGATTCATCTATAACAATCTAGTCTCTCTGTACAGTGCACATCATCATATTAAGTCCCTGCATCCCATCCCGTGCCGAAACACCACCTCGGCACAAATAATCCTCATCTCAAGGAAATAGTCCTTTCCCCTAGAGCAATATCCCAACCCATCATATAATGATACATCGCCCGTAACAATTTTGTCTGAACCAGAAAACAAAAGGTCCGTAGGGATACATATTACTCATTTTTGAACCCACATTGAAAGTGAGATTCCCTTGGTGGATGCAAGGCTCTTCTCATATGAGGCTGCTCGTGTAAGGCTTCCGCGAGATAAGAGGAAGCGAGGAAGTAAGAGAAAAGAAAAGGAAAAAAAAAGGTTTGATGTCCAATTTCAAAAGTTAAGCTCATACCCAGACCGGTCCTTTTGCTAACCTTACATTATCTGGAGGGAGAGAGGTTGTGGGAAAGGGAGACATGAACCAAGAAGGTAGGTGAATTAGGTTGCCTATTGGGTTGAGGAGTTTGGGAGGGAAACAACAACAGCAGAAAAAAAAATCATCAAGTAAGAACATATATTACTCATGCCCGGGAACCAGCTGCATGTTGTTGTTCATACTCGTGTTCTTGTTGTAGCTGTTGGCCGCTGCTGCGCTCGGCCTCTGATTCATGTTCCTCCTCGCTGGTGGGGGAAGGGGCCCGACTGCCCACTAACGAGCGACGGCTGCGCATCTAGACCGAAATTTGTGAGCGGGCTGCACCCTCCTTTTCATAGCGACTTCAGGAACTCACCCAGGATCGAACGCCACCAATCAGACCCAGACTGTACCCAGTGGCAAAGTAATCAGGGGGTTCGTTGCGGCCAGTGCCCATGGGGCTGTCGGGACGGCCCAGAGCCTCAACCCGCGAGACATGCGATTTGGTCCCCAGCACGGGACTCGTCAGTCCGCTCGTCAGTCCACTGCGCGAGCCGCCCAAGTCCATGCTATTGCGGGTGCTGGGTGCCGGGCTGCCGGGGCGGCTGTTTTGCCAGAATTGGCGCAGCTCGCGACCCAATTCCTGGCCCGTGGTGGTCCAATTGGCCCGGATGTTGTCGCGCAGCTCCGACACATGGCGCTTGATCTCCAGCTCGTTCTTTTTGATCCATGACACGTTCAGTTCCTGACGCGAGGCTCCGCGCTTGAATTGGCGCGAAATGTACTGGTCGTAGTCGCGGACAATCCTGAATCGAATCAGCTCCGCCAACTCATTCACATCCCAACCGCGGAAACCCACCTGGTGATGATGCCCGTAGTGCTGACACCTTCCGTGCGCTGCGTGACCAGGAACTTCCCCTCTCGCTTGATCGGGGCGTAGATGTCGTCGCCCTCATCCGCACCATACGGCAGGTCGTCATGTGCCACGTAATCAATCTTGTGCTCCTCAAGAAACGCCGGGGTCAAAATCCAAGGACAATCGGGAATCACCTCGTCCACCCATTTACAGTGCCGCAGGGACTCTGCACGCTCTGCGCCACTCAAGACCGTCAATCCCTTGCGCTTGTGTGTCTCCTCATCACCCGTGACACCCACAATCAGATATACGTCGGGGAAAGCCTTCTTCGCCTGCTCCAATTGCCGCATGTGACTGGTGATTACCACGCCGGTTAGCCATCGATACACGGAATGCACCGTACCGGAAAAAAGGACAGCACGTACCCCAAGTGGAACAAATCAAACACTCCGTCCGCGTACACCCGCACCGGGCGACCCACTGGAGGCGGGTTGGTGTGATAACCGACGGGATCCTGGAGCCCACCGCGTTTTGGAGGCTCCAACAAGTGCTCTGGGGGTGCCGTCGTGTCGATCTGCAAGCCCGGTCGGGTGCCCTGATTCTCGATGTCGCTGCTGGCCACGGTAGTCTCGGACGGCTCGCCCGGGTCTTCCTTGTTTAGCGCGCCCGCCGCATTGCCGTTGGACAGTTGATCGTGGTTGTTGTTGTTGTCGCTGACGGAAGCCTTCCGGGCCCGCTTCGACGGGGGCACAGCGCCGGTCGATGTTACGTCCTGGGTCGGCTGTTTCTTGTGTTTGTTGGGGCTGGGCAGTGGGAGAGCTGGGCCGGTAGAGTCGTCGCCTTCCTCGCCGGACGCATCGCGAGAGGAGGGTTGCAAAAGATCTGCAGGCGCAGGAACGGCAGTAGGATGGTGTTGGGAGCCACTGCGCTTGCGTTTTCCGGACGGAGGAGAGGACATGGTGGCTGACTGAGGGAGCACAGCTCAACTTCTGTCGAGGAAGGATTAGGAGAGAGGGAAGGAGAAGAGAGAGAAGAGATGGGGTCCGGGGGGGGGAGGGAGGAGAGAGGAGAGAGAGAGAGAGAGAGGAAGAAG